GGCAGCATGCGTCCCCGGAGTGTCGCCCCCCCCTCCCCCCCCACCCCCCCGTGCCTTCCTGACATTTTCCTGTCACGCGGCTGGTGGACCATTGTTGTTAAAGGTTATTAGTGAAAGGTTAACGATATTTCTAGCCTCAGGAGCGTTTAAGTGTCTTACCAGCTCCTTGGTCTGACTGTAGAACTCCTCCGTGGACGACAGACCCCACTTGTCCTGCAGGCTGAGGTGTGGTGGTCTGTAGAAGAAGGGATACATCTCCGACACGCAGCTCAGACAGGACAGGGTCTACACAGAGTCGAAGACATGATAATTACAGACGGACGCATGTCAACTTTTTGCGATATCTGACCTGTCGATATTGTCAGCTGGGCCGCACCAGTACAATCATAACATAATTATCCATAAATTATCTTATTTGTTTTGATGCAAATATAAAGTACAAATATTGAATGAAATATTTGACAAAACATCACTTACATGCATTTTTTTTCAACTTTCAACATTAATCAAGTGGGCCGTATTGCACAAAACCACAGATTTCAGATTCCGATATCAATCGATACCGATATATGCAGCCGTTTGAAACCGCACATTATTTCATCGTGTGCAGTAGTGTGCTGTGTCGCACCTCATGTGGGCAACCCAGGTATTGCGTTATCAGGTTTTCATTGTTGGAGGAAAAAACCCATAACAATTCTTACCGATACTTTACAAAATTATTTTAATATCATCGGATAATATTGGTTGGCCGATATAATCGTACGATTACCCTCGTAATAGATGCTGAAATAAAGGAGAGGTGTGGATGGGTAGGGGCGGGGGTGAGGGGACTGATTCTAGTGATTCTATCATAGAATTGAAAGTAAAACTCAAACTAAAACTCAAACTAAACCTCAAAACAGCTCCAATGTGATTGGACGTCATTCACCTCGATAGAGTGCGCGATGTTGAGACACTGCTCCATGCCCGGGATGTCGAACTGGAGAACCCGCAGGTCTTTGCACTTGACGGTGATGGTCCCCGAGGATCCCGTCATCCTGCAGACACACCCACACTGATGTAAAGGTTGGACAACGACGGACACTGATCAAAAATGTGCGCTCGCGAGGAGGCGAGTAGTCGACGACTAATGAAGAGCAGAGAGCAGCAGACAACTGACAAACATGAGGGAAAGGCCGCGCGTGAACAATGGCACAAGAGCTGCATCAATCCTGTTTTCTTCTGCGACAGCGGGGACAGTGAAGGCAGCACGGAGCAGACACACGGAGACACACAGATGTCCAAACCTTTTACTGCGGTCTGTGTTAGAGAAGACACTGGAATAGCCGGAAAAGTTCTCCACGCTTGGTCAAAAGGATGTGAGAAAAGACTGTGATTAATCGTGAATTAGACATGGAATCAGTGATCAGTGATTGATTATTAAATGACGCAGAGTAGACGCCATACGAGTGACAAGAATTACAGTCCAGGACAAAATGATCAACCACACAAAAACCATTCAAAACCATAATATATTTCTCCTTTAAAAGTGACAGATTTGTTGAGGTCAGGGATGTCCGATATCAGCTCTTTGTCGATGTCCGATAAGCCGATTTTATACAAACACACAATTTCCAAATCTAATAGGCTATATGAAGACGAAATATGAAGATGAAGCATTGCCTTATTGGGTTTTCATTATCGGAGGAAAAAACCGATAACGATTCTTACAGATATTACATAATTATGCGAATATCAGACATCGGACATGCCTAGTTGAGATATAACAAAACCCAACGATTTAACAATTTAACTTTAAAACTTTGTCTTATTAATTATGCTGAATCATCAAATGTGTCTGTAGCTTCAGTTGTTTTCAGCAGTCGGAAAGTCGTGATTAAAAGTTAAATTGTTAATGACGACAGAGCTGGAGGAAGGATGCACTTTTCAAGTGTAATCTTGGAAATAATTATAAAATAATAGAAGATAAAAGATGAATAAATGATTGTTAATTCTGAATTTTAAAATAAATGTAACTCGAAATTAAAATGTAAATCAACGTTGTCCTCACAACGTTGATTCCCTGAACCCCCGTGATCCTCTTTGTCTGTCGCTGTTCTGTTCGGTGGGTTTCAAACCCTCACCTTTTCTCAGTAGCATCGATGTTCCTGAGCAGCAGCAGAACCTGCCGGGCGTTTCCGTCCTCTCTGACCGAGAAGAGCAAGTGGTGGCCGGTGACACAGAGCGTGCCCCGGCTCGGCGGCTGCAGCGGCTGCCTGAGAACCACATCCTCCACATTGGCTGTTTTGATGAACTCGTAAAACTCCATCAGGACTGAACGAAACCCTCGTTAAAGCTAAAGAAAACGGCGCAGAGATAATTCACCCCCCTCCTAACCCCCC